TTACTGCTCTGGAGATTTTGCCCCAGGCTTCGTCTCCCGTCCGTTAAACGTCGATCGGTTCGCCGTCGTTGGGCTGCAGCCAACTAACTAAAATAACTAAAATCCGTACAAAATATAAATTATAAATTTTTATTTTATTTAGTATTTTTATTCAGGAAATATGGTTTCTTTCTTGAATTCGTACTTCTAAAGCGTTTAATAATTTGGAAGTGTTTTCTTCGACGTTGGAACTGAACGTTTACTATCATTTAGAAAGGCTTCGGGCTTCAAAGGGTTAAATTCGATACATGAAGATCGATTTCACAGTTTAGTGCTGCTACGGAATTCGCGATTTAATGACATGACTAGCTTCATTGCTCTCGACCTCGCAAAAAATGTACCTGGAATTAATCCAACCTGCGAGGGTTCACTTTACAAAGCTTCAGGGTTTAATATGTATGAAAACAGAATCATAGAACTAAAAGCTGACATTTTGAATGTTTTGTTTAAAATTATAAAACACTTTTAAAGAGTAGGTGGATAAATTTGCATAACAAATGCCAGCAGCAATAAGGCAGGAGTTTTCAACAACTGAAACAGTCCTGTTTGTTTCCGGGATTATAAAATATCCTGTTTAATTAAATGAAGCGTGCATGTTCAGGTAAATGAAAATAGTCCAACAGCAGTGACCGAAAACATTTGCAGCTGATTCGACTAACTTTCGATTCCTTCAGAGCAAGGAATATATTGATAAGTCGAATGAGTGACTGTTGACCAAGTGCGGTAAAATCTGTATGATCCACAACATGTATTTTGTCCAGTAGACCACACAACTTTTCAAGTATGATTCTGCACCATGCAATTAAAACTAATCTCCAAATTCCACAGATTTATTGGAACATACCCGTTTGCCTAAGAGCCACGGTGGTCTAGCGGTTAGAACGCTGGCCTTGTAATCCTGGGGTGTCGGGTTCGAATTTATAACTTGTGTTGGGCAAGGCCGTGGTCTAGGCAACACGGAGTTTTCCTCCGTGGCATCCCAACAATTACTCCATTCACACACAGAAGAAGGCGATGGCAAACCACTTCTGGATCATCTGCCAAGAACGTGTATGAACAGGTCCCAGTCCGAGAAGAGAAAAGGATGGAAGGATCCTGTTCATATGTCGCGTAATAAATGTCGCGTAGTGATTAGAAAGATTTGTCCTTCATTTGTCGTATTTAATTATAATGGCGGTGGATATTTGTTTGCGTTTCGGTTTCGCTGATAAATGAATCTACAAAGACGCCAGTGTCTCCGCGAGTGACGGATTGCTGCACTGATTTAGATGAGACAGATTTGTGGCTCGGATAGTCAATCTGCTTTCTGACCGGAATAGTGGCTTTTTTATCCTCATGCATTCCTAAAACTCACGAAACTGATGTTTAATTCATAAAGAACGTTTTCACTGTTAGTGGAACTTTCTTTGTCGTATTTTATACCTCGGTTCGACCCCAGTCCACGGACATAAATATAAGATTGACTGACGATAGAAAATTCTAGAACCTTCGTCATTTGCACACCGAACCAAGTACTTGAGCTATTAGACCAAGTCTGTAGGGACCGTAACATGAGACAAGAACGAAATAAGAAATGCTTGCGAAATTTTTTACTGGGAAACACGTGGATGAAAGAATAATAGTGATCATTTGTTGGGGTATTCGACTTCTGTGTTCTGTAGCGTAGGTGGAAGGAATGGTTTATTGTTTTATTTCTACGTTTGTCTGGAGGGACTAAGGAAAATCATGAAATGCCTGAGTTAGTTTGGCTGATCTCAGGGGCATGGATCCTATCCCAGGACCTTCCAGATATGAAGTGCGGGTGCTGACTTGAATAACATTTGATAGAATTTTACTTAAACGTCGTTTAAATGTTAAACTGTTAAAATTGGTTTTAATTGGGGTTTGCGAGGTGGATTTTGTGGCGAAGGGCTCAAGAATCCGTAGCAAAGAACAGCTTAATTATGTTATGATGCAAGGATCTTTAAATGAACGCGTAATCTTGAGGTGTTAATTCGAAAAATATCTAACGGGTTTCGATAAAGTGTGGTATTTGTAGCTAATTTTGGTTCGCAGGTACAAAAAGTGTCCCGTAATGAATCTAAAATGCGTTTAATACGCGGTTCTTAAAAGAATGAAATTGGTTGGCATAAAGATGTAAAGTTTTTGTATTTGAAATACTTTTCGAGTGGATTTTCAACGGAATTAAAGTAAATGCAGCTTCTGACCTACGTAATTTGAGGTATTTTTGTGTGATTCGACTTGAGTCACTGGGTTTCTGGCCGACTTTAAGGTCGCGGAGACGTTTAAAATGTGAAGGAAGCAATTTGGAAAGTGATGATGGCTGTCGTGTGACTCACCCTCGTGAAAACCCCAAATCGTACTTAATTTGGGAAATATAGGAGTAAAACCTTTCCAATCTCTTTGAATAAAAATTTCCTTGGATATTTTCCATCGTTTAGTCTCCAAAAAAAACCCGGTTTTTAAAAACCCGACAAACCCTAGTTACCATCGTTTCTGAAGGCGTTCCCACACATTTGAGTCCTTTCATGTGAAGGGACTGAGAGGCAGACGGACGAAAGGACCAACGACGTCTCCTTCGAGGACAAATGTTTCACTCCCGTTGCTTAGTGCAGTAACAGAATTTGCAGACACCACTCGTAGTGACCTTGGGCGACAGCTGTCAGTGTTCCTTCTGTGCTTCTGTGCAGATGCAAGTGCAACGGACACGCGTCGGAGTGCGTCGCGAGCACCGCCGTGGATGGCAGCGCGCGGCGCGTGTGTCGCTGCGAGCACAACACGTTTACTGCAACGAGTGTCTGCCGTTCTACAACGACGCCCCCTGGGGACGCGCCTCTGCCCTGGACGCCCACGAGTGCCGGGGTAAGTGACGCGACTTGTCTTTTGAGCGAGGACGTCAAGAAATGTGTGATTCGAGGAAGTCTCTGTCTTAAAATAGTGAATTGTCTGCTGATGTCAGTCGATCTGGTTGAAATTCGGTCTCTTAATGCGGGAGTCGGATAATCGAGGGTCGGTTAACGGAGGTTTCACTGTACCCACAACAATTTGTAGTTTGCGTGATTATGGGCCTGTTCCATCTTTCTAGGAACTAGACAACCCGAATGATTTCCGCAAAGGACTGCAATTCGAGCCCCCCCCGCCCCCCCCCCCCCCCTACAC